CTGATCATGTGTTCACAGGCTGGATCAACTCCTCGACCCCCGGACCCCTTTTAGCTACAATAACCCCTCCCCCCGCCTTTATGAGTCACCTAGTACTCACTAAGTTTACTTATTGCGCTTTTCTTTACCATGATCCTTTCCCCCTTCTTTCAGAGGGGCATGGTTTCCTGTTAAATAGTTGATGAAATAATGTTCACGCTTCATCTCGTGTGGAGGGTAAATACATGACCAGACTTGGATTAAGAAACGGAGTAACCTGTTCAGCAGCAACATTTTTAAATCCAGTATCTGGTTTCTGTTGTGCAACAACCGCAGTATAGACTTTCTTTGCACATATGCAAATCACATCTGGTGTGTTGATTTCCAGCAATCACGCAACTTAATGACTTGATTCATCGCATGAGCAATCGTTGACTCGATGCCCAATGTTTTTTCAAGGACTTTAGTCAGTCTTTAGTCATATCCTGCGATGAATGTAAAACATCAACCACCAGTGTAACAAGATTTATCCCCCCCCCCCGAAGTTGAAAACTTTTAAAACAAGTGGAAAACATCAGTTAAACCTGCTCAAATCCTACAGAGATGAAAAGGAAATAAACGGTATCCTGTGGTGAAGCGTTTGAAATCATGATTTTATTACAGAATTGAATGTTTTTGTCAAAGGGAGTTAAGCTTGTCTCATCTGTATTTGACTTGAAGCTTGAACCTGAAAGTGCTCCGGACGTGTTTAACGTGTTCAGGTCACGACAGATGTTTTTATTGGATTCAAGTCTGGGCTCTGTTTGGTTGAATCCACAACTTGTATCTTGTACCAGTCAATCCGCTCTTTGATTTCGGTTTATGTTTGGGTTGTCGCCGTGCTGAAAGATGAAACCCTGCTTCATTGCGTCACATTTGATGTATTTTTTTAGTCTTTGTCACAAATCAAAGATGAAACATGAAAAAAAATGCTTGAACTATAAGCCAGCCACCCCAGATCGAGAGCTTGAAGAGTTGTACGCGATACTCCACTCTCCTCTGGGTTCTGGTTTTCTGTTGCAAAGCCCTTATTATGTGCTACGTGACACTTGTGTGCCGCTGGCTTACTAACATCTATTTGCATTAACCGTGGAGCAAACCTTCCCCCTCTGCACTGAAATAAATCTCCTCCCCATGCAGTATTACTTTCCACCAACATGGTCATGACTGCAAATCTGCAGCAACAGGCTGCTCTGCAGTTCCTGATTATTTTCATCACAAACCACTTTGTTTTGTGTCTGAGGACTCTTCATAATTTATCAGCACAAGGGCAGTTGCTGACCTACATAGATGGCCAGGGTGGAAACTGATCCACGTTTTTGACACAAAATGAGTGCGTTTCCTTGGCTGCGAAGTGGTAAATGTACGAATGCCAAGGTGTCCCAAAACCATCCGATCTGAACCTTTTTTCCCTCCAAACAAAATGTTTGTTCTTTTGTCAGTGACACGTTTAAAAGCTAAGATGCAATGTGTTTTTATTACAATTGGTTTCTTGCAGGGAAATGAACCGATTCACAACGATACCAGTTGGCCCGGTTTATTGTCGTTTTTCTAGTTTCTCCTTGTTTATCTGAATAGCAGAGCTTTAATCTAGGAGGGGGCCCAGCCCCTTCTCACACATTACAACCATGAAAACCATACAGTAAATCGACACCAACCACACCCAGCTCTGCCTGATAAGGTATGTGTGCGGGTGTACGTGGTGGCTGAGGAGCTGTATTGTGCATTAGCAGTATTAAGATCACCGAACCAGGGAGAAAGAAACATAAAACGATATCATCTAATCGCAGTGCACATGGAAAATTAAACGAGAAACAGACAAAAGGGAATTTAAAGGTGCTATAGATGAATAGACCAGTAGAACTGGATACATAAGTAGTCAGGCGCCCAATTAGTCCAGGCGCCCAGTAGTTTAGTGCTTGGAAAATCTCAAAATTGGGAGTGATGTTGCCCTGACAGATTGAACAGGATCCTGGTGAAAGATGTTTCCCATTCGGCTTGATTTCTCTCTTGAAGAATTGAGCCATAACGTCCCCACCAAGTATAGTATGGCCAAAATAATGCATTAGTTGAAGAATTGATGCTTATTCATGTCGGTTGTGTTGATGAAATTACTTCATGTCTGAAAGTAGTTCTTCACTGCAAACAGCAGGCGCCTCAACTCGTGTGCGGCCCGAAGCAACGCATGACGTCAGCTATGTGAAGATGAGCTACTTTCACTCAGACACTTTAATCTGACATCTACAATAATTTTCCAAATACAGTAATTAAAAAAAAATCCTAATGGTCGATGCAGCAAAGTTTGTCAGATGCTCATTCATATCTATAAATATCCCGAGTTACCACAATGCCACTGGCCCATTACAAGTCACTGGTTTCCAATTCAGAGGATCATTAGCCTCCAAAAATGTGATTGTTTATAGATGACAGCACATCCAGCACTGTGGTCATGGTTGCAAATGGCAATTAGGTGACATTCCGCTTAAGAGCCCAGCAAAAGAAAGAACTATTATCTCACTTGTATTACTCTCAGAGCTGCAGTCATATGAGCATAATCTGCCATCATTCATGTTCCCTTTGCCTCTTTTATGCACCAACATCACTGTATAATTGAGCTCAACATCGTGCCTTGTTTACTAACACGCAACCAATCAGTGGTGGCAAATTGGCGTCCTAGAATGTGAAGTGAAATGATCGAGAACCGATTCATCGGGCATCCTGTAATTGTGCTGTGTCAAAACCATTCCAAATTCTTAATGAACTGCTACACTGCTCCCACTGTCCCATTTCTAGTAGACGGACATGGACTCAGCTCTGTTACTCCCTAATTAGTGCGGCCTTCTGTGATTGCCGCCTGTAGTCTGACACAAAGCAGGATGTGTGTCCCTGTCTGTGTTAAATGGGAACACTGAATGGGACTTGAAAGTGGATACAGAATAGCCAAAGGGAGACTGTGCAATTCACACACTCAACTTATCCTGAAGATGACAAATCCTCTAGTGTGCAGGGAAGCATTATACTCACACACTGATTGGCCACAACGTCTTCCAGTCTTATGAAATCCAAATGATCAAACTATTGTTCAATCATTTTGCATATTGTTGTGGTTATAGTTTGCAGTGGTGGAGCACCGGGTGCACTGAACAACCGTAAAAATGATTCTGTTCATATCCGTTTTACCGTCAATCAAAAACTCCACACCCCTTATATTTTTAAAGGAATTTTCGGAGGCAGCTTGTTTTTGTATTTGATCGGATTGTGCGGGTGTACCTCTACAGGCCAGTTGGCGCATGGAAGGTGCTGGTACTCAAAGACAGGTTGATTCACCATTCGTGTCTCCATGCCACTAGTAAAATCACCAGCCACTTGGGAAATATTTGTCTGTGTGATAAGGAGAGGGAGGCGTGTAGAGAAAATAAAGAATAGTTGGACTGGGGGATGGGAGTAAGGGGGTCATTTCCAAGATTTATGGTGCGGCACTTCACAAAATGCATGCATCCTGTAATTAAAACTCCCCCTTGTCTCAAACTGCCCTGTACATTAGCAGGAATTCACCCCCACCACACCCCATCTCATTTAGGCCTATTCAATCCAGCAAACCCCCCAATCCCCGCCCCCCCGCGCGCGCACACACGCGCGCGCACACACGTTCAAGATAATAAGATCTGATGGCAGCTTGAAGTCTCTAATGAGGGCTGAATGCTACAATGAGGGGCAGTCTGTTACTGCTTAGAGGCCACTTCTGTCACATCCCACACAGCTTCAGCTGAACTCGCTTTTCATTTCCTCTCCGTGGCAACTTTGGGGCGAGCACAGAACACGTAACTGCGCGACACTCCATATAAGGTGGCATCGATCAAAGCACTTTAGCGCTCCAAACAAACCGCACACTGGCGTTCTGTACTTTTGTTGCTCTTGGTGACATATTTGCTTTGAATTTGCAGCGAACTGTGTCAGCGACGCAGCGATTGCAGGTCACGGGATGAAAAGTCAATAAATGACTGTTGCTACAGACTGGAGTGTTTTGGCATTGACTTAATGGTCTTATGTACTTTTTTAGCAAATGCATGAAACATACCAGTTGTTCACTGGATGCGTGTTGCCCACTAAACACAACATGTTTCCGCTAACTTCATTTTTCAGAAAGGCTGGGCCAGGAAAACAAAGATTACCTGGGACCCTCCCATAATTTTCCAAATTTTCTCTTAGATCGAATTATATTGATCATGCAATTCCTTTCACACTTGAGGACTACAAAAATCCGATTCACTTAATTGTCTTGCGAGACAAGTAAGAATTAGAAATAGAGGTTTCAGATGCGAGATGCAGGGTGTGTTGCTACAAAAAGATTAATTGATCACCAGAATAGTTAATAAAAGATACATTTTCCATCAGTTGGAAAATCAATAGTCATTTCAGCTCTGGGGCCTAATGGTGAGTTGTGTCATGTACGTGCAGAGGTTAATGTCTTCCTGTGACCTTTGCTCTCATATGCAACGTGAAGGTCAATCTGAGGCTCCAGTGCCCTCATGCCCATGTTGGTGCGATATTAATATTCGGATCAAATCCCAGTTACGCTGCCAAACTGCACTGAAAAAAACAGCGATCAATAGGCTCCTTGTACTCCCCCGAGTGGGTACCTCATTTTTGCTGCAAACTTTCACTGAACTTTCCAGCAATCTGGGCCCCGCCAGCAGCTGGACCTGCATGAGGTTTTCATCAAGCCTGAGTGGCCCAAATCATTTTCCCCAATGTCTCTCTTTGCATGAATGAATGTGGACTAGGGTGTGGTTTATATGACAAAGCTAGCCGTTTTTTGGGGGTTTTTTTTGGACAGTCTTGACGTTTATGTCAGTTATTGCAACCACGTTCTTTTCTGCTCAGTGGCAATCCTTTTGTTTTGGCTGATCACTATCTTTTCTTAGTGGTGCCAGTGTTTTGTAAATACAAACGCCTCATCTAACGCCTCTTCCTCTCCACAGCTGTATGAATTGGATGGAGACCCAAAGAGGAAAGAGTTTCTTGATGACCTCTTCAGCTTCATGCAGAAAAGGGGTAAGCAACACGGCAACTCATTGTGACTTGAGCAGGTGTTCAAAATGGGACCCCACGCACCTCACCTCTCCTCAAAGAACAAGAATGGAAATAATATATTATCTATGATAATCAAAATAATTGGAAAAGGCACGTGACTTGCGAGCGGTCTTGTATTTTCACACGTTCTTATTTTGTTCATTAAATAATTGACGAAAAAGAATGTAATCGTGTGGATGGACACTGACCATTTCTCAATATCAAGAACGCAGAGTACGGCCTTGTGAACTCTCCAAATTCGCTCTTCCTAAGAGTGTACTTGAGAACGTACTTCCTATGAACGGTAGTCTCTTTGTAATTGGAACGGCTGTGTACTTGTCAGTTCCCTTTATAGGGGGGGATATGGAGACAGTGATCCCTCATGTAGGGTCGACTCGGAGCCGCGTGTTTATCTTTCGCTCACCTGGGTGGGGTCTTTATTCAATTCAGAGATGATTGATTGATGGTCACATAGCCTCATTCCCAGGATGTGCTTGAAATAAAGGCATACATTGAATTGAAGCTCAAGGCATGAAGGTAAACCGATACGGCTTACCTTGACATCCTATGTCGCACACACGCACACACACACACACACACACACACTGGACCCAACACCCAAGCAAAAAAAAAAAAAAAAAAAAAATTTGCAAACCGTTGTGTTTTACCAGTTTTGGTATCAGACATACTCAAGTATCACTGTCTCTTCATAAATACCAGGTACTTTGTTAGTGTGACAGGTTGTTGATGATTCATGGCTGATATAGATCAGGAGCCAAAGATGGTAGACAAAAGATGTATGTGTTTACTATGAAACAAAATTCTTGTGAGTCACAAGAAGCATGACTGGGTGGGTCTGCTGAGCCTGATCGGAGAAGCTGAGTGCGCCCTCTGCAGGTCATTACTGAGTGCAATCGCCCATCTTAATTGATGTTTGGAGATAGATGAGACCATTCTGAATAAAAAAAAAAAGATATTTGTTGGATAATTTCGTTGAATGCAATTTGAGCTCTTGTTTAAATCTGCATGCTGACAAAAGAGGTCTTGTTCCAGGAACCCCTGTGAATCGTATTCCCATCATGGCCAAGCAGGTCCTGGATCTGTACATGCTCTACAGGCTGGTGACGGAGAAGGGGGGCCTGGTGGAGGTCATCAACAAGAAACTGTGGAGGGAGATCACCAAGGGACTTAATCTGCCTACCTCAATCACCAGTGCAGCCTTCACCCTCCGCACACAGTCAGTAAACACACGCACAACCCCTTAAGGACATCCCAATGTGTCCTCCTCCTTCCCTGTATTTATTTGAACACAAAAAAAAAATTGCAAGCATAAATTATATAGAACATATTGTAAACATTGAAGCGTCTGCGTGTGAGTGTCTGGCCGTGAGCTTTGGCCAACAGCAGCTTCTGCATGAGTATGCTTTATTTTGCGTTACTGTTGTCACACCATTCGCTAAACGAAACTGCCCAAGCTTATTTATAAAACTTGCCGGAAAATAAATTACACGAAATAACTTTACTTTCACACTTTGAAACCGGTATCATACAGTATCCGCAACGTTTGTAATGATGTCAGGTTGCTCACAGGCTGCCTAATTAGTGTCACCACAAATGCCTTCTATTTGTAAAGCATTCGAAATAATCTCATTGTTTGCTTTGGCCTTTAAAATGGATTTGTGGTTCCCGTTAGATACATGAAGTACCTGTACCCATATGAATGTGACAAGAGGGGTCTGAGCAACCCCAACGAACTCCAGGCCGCCATCGACAGCAATCGACGGGAAGGCAGACGACAGAGCTTCGGCGGCTCCCTCTTCACATACTCCCCCAACGGGACACCCACCATGCTGTCTTCGCCAAAGCTCTCCACAGCCACCATGGGTTTGACTGTAGCCACCAATGGGGCCTCACTCACCCCCATCCAGAAGATCAAGAAGGGTGAGCACGCCACCAATGGCGTTGATGGCGTTGAAATGGGGGGGATATCGATGCGCTAATTTGAGTTGTTGGAAAAGTATAGAAGAGGTCTTTGGGTTCGACGTCAGCAAACTGGATAATAGAATGTTCCAAATGAAAAACATTGGTTTCCATATTTACAATACAAAGAAACAAGAATATGCAGCATCAATGAAGTGGTGACTGGAAAAAATAATTTTCAACGGATCATTGAGACCGATGCTCTCTGACATTTTTGTTGTTAATGCTGCGCCTGGGTAGCAGAATTTTCTTGGAGATTGTATTTTTTCTGCTGGGATTGTTTGTGGGGTAGTTGCTCTCATCTTGGTTGAATGAGGTAAAATGTGGGCACAGCTTCATTATGTCGAGTTTCATGTTTTCTACCACTGAGCAGGACAAACTACTTTCCCACTGATCCTCATGATACATGGAGTTAAGTTCTTTTTTTTTTTTGTTTTGCTCCCTGCTGTCTAGAAGAAGAGGGCGGCCAGCCTTTCCATGGAGTCGGTGTGCCTCGCATGCCAGTGGGAGCCCTGGCGAGTCACTCGGTGGCTGCCGCCGCGGCAGCCCAGGCGGCGATGGCAGCTCAGGTTGCGGCGTTGGAACAGCTGAGGGACAAACTGGAGGCCGGAGAGCCGCCCGAGAAGAAGATGGCACTGCCAGCAGAGGAGCATCAACGACTCCTGCAGAGAGCACTGCAACACAACTTGCTGGCCATGACAGCCCAGATACCAATGAACATCCGCATCAACCAACAAGGTACTGGAAACGGCAGGTGATCGTGTGGGAACGCTCAAGTGTTCATCCGGTTTGGCAGACTCCAATTTAAAAGTAGAGAGAGAAAGAATTGGTTGACCAGTGTAATTGATTAGTTGTCGATTTAATCAGTTCCTTTTGACAACTAAGTAATATATCCATTTCTAAAGTGATACACAAGTAAATCAAGTCATAATTTAAAAAAAAACAGCAAATGGACCAGAATTAGCTTATGGAATTGTGCAACACTTGACAAATGTACAAATTAGCAGTTACCGTCTTGGCCCGAATATAAGACGGTGTTTTTCGCATTGAAATGAGACTGAAAAAGTGGGGGTCGTCTTATATTCGGGGTCTAGACATTATACCCATTCACGACATTTGATGGCGTAAGATATCATTGCCGCGAATGCTGAACTTGACTCCCGAGGCCAAAGTGAACCCCTGTCTCGAAGAATAAAAATAAAAATAGCGGTAGCACGAAAAATAAAAATAAAAAATAGCGGTAAGAAAGAAAAGAGAAGAAAATAATAGAAGAGATAACAGAAAATGGAGAAACGTAGCGACGATCTGGAGAAAAGTGGGTTGAAAATCGGCCAGGTTAACCGGCAGCTGAGGAGAAGTTATGATGTCATTTACATTTCAAAAACCAGAAGCCATTCATTTACGAATGTGATTGCACTTTAGTTTCCATATTTAAATGTTCAGATATTAAGATTTGAATGAGGCAAAATAACATGCTTTTTCTCTCAAATATATTGTTATAATCATTTGTTTCAGAGGTACTGTAATTATTTTCTGTATAAAAATTAATTTGGTGTTCAAAAAGTCTTTTTTCAAACTTGAGTCTTGAAAAAGAGGGGGTCGTCTTATAATCAGGGCCGTCTTATATTCGGGCCAATACGGTATTTTCCTCTTTCAGCTGTGGGTCTTTTGCCGTTTTACCTCAGAATTTTGTGACATGCTTTCCTCATACTCTCTTCGGTTAGTTTCAGTTGGTGTCGAATGTCTAAACACATGCTTGACATGTTACCACAAACCTCAACACCTGTAAGTGAGATAGTGGACCTAAACGTTGACCTGTTTAGCGTATGAAAGTAACGAACATGCAAGCAAACATGCAACCACGCATGTCTGTGGGGCCCGAGTGGGATTCCCTCCTATGCTAGCAAACACTTTAGTCCCCATGCTGTTGGTTTCATGTCTGCAGAAGTCTGTCTCGGGACAGATGGCACATGTCAAGGTGACAAAAAACGTTAACTGTGTAGATGCACAAATACAAATGCAGGATGTAACCAGAGTTGCAAAAGGGAGTCAGTGCTGCTGCTGGCTGACTTTTGGTTTTGTCTGTCAACATTGACCAAAGACATTTTCACATTGACCCGAGGGTATTGATTTTGCTAATACAGCTTCCCCATTTTGTTGTTGGTGTTTCAGACGGCAGGCAGGACTCTGCCATGAACCTCACGACCAACGGTACAAACAGCATAAGCATGTCAGTCGAGCTCAACGGAGTCGTGTACACTGGTGAGTTGCTGCATCGTGCTCCGCAGAAAGTTTATTTCACTGCAGCTTTTTTCATTCAAAGATACGAAACCACAACAAACGCGCAGAGCGTAATTATTGCTCAATATGTTATTTAATAGTTAATGGAGTATCCTATTTTTTCATTGATTGCTTTTAAATTAGTTCAGGAATGGGCAATTGAATGTTTTTATGGAAGAACTATGTCAATATTTGGATGTGTAATAGCATTAGAGTGAAGGCTTCACTCAAAGAACAGGGGTTCTCAGTGTACCATGTACTCGACATACAGTATTTCAAAGTTACTAGCAATGAGCAATGAAGTAGTATTTTTCAGCAGCATAAGAATACATCATCAGGCAGCTCAAGAAGGCACACTCATTTACTGCCGTGCCTAATGTTTGCTATTTGATTGCTTTATATTTTGGGCCAGGCGGCCCGGTGCTCAAGTGCTTAGCGCGTCGACCTCACAGTGCAGAGGTGCAGGGTTCGATTCCAGCTCCGGCCTTCCTGTGTGGAGTTTGCATGTTCTCCCCAGGCCTGTGTGGGTTTTCTCTGGGTACTCTGGTTTCCTTTCACATTCCAACAACATGCATGACAGGTTAATGGAACATTCTAAATTGTCCCTAGGCGTGAGTATGAGCGCGGATGGTTGTTCATCTCGGAGTGCCCTGTGATTGGCTGGCAACCGGTTCGGGGTGTCCCCCGCCTACTGCCCGAAGACAGCTTGGATAGGCTCCAGCACCCCCCGCGACCCTTGTGAGGATAAAGCGGATCGGAAAATGGATGGGTGGATGGATATTTAGGGCCGAGAGATGTTTATCATACAAATAGCTCATCTCTAAAATAGGACTTGATATCAGAGCGCCATGTGAAATGCCGCAAATATTTTTGCGTGGAAGGAAAAGGACTTCTTTTTAGTTCCTGGAATTCACTTTTCACGCTTTGTTTTCCAGGTGTCCTTTTTGCTCAGGCAGCAGCTGGGTCAGCCCCATCAGGGGCGTCCCTCTCCAGCAAGCCTGTCGGCAGTCGTGTCTCTCCTCATTTGCAGCAGCAGACCACACCTACCTCAACCTCCAGCAACCCAGTGTCTTAACAAACCTTCAGCTTCCCCCCCAGCCCCCTTTTTTAAACCAAGCTACATAAAGCCAAAAAAACCCCAACAACAAAAAAACACAACAACCTCATTTTCTATATAGTCTACGCCAAAAAGAGAAAGCAAACACAAAGACACAAACTAACGCAATCACTTGAAATACACTCTCAGGTTCTGTCATCAACTCACCTCTTTTGTTCTTCATATAGCCACAATGATTTTGGAGGAAAATATCCCAACAGAGAGCCAGTATATGTTAAACAAAACAAAATGTATGTACATCCTGTGAATTATTTATTTCTGCATACATGTTCAGCTTCTGGAAGAACAAAAGAGAAGTGAATAAGCAGGGAGGGCTAATGCACTGTTTACACTTAACAAACACAGCTACTGACTGACAGCAAGGTTTCATCCTCTCGGGGAGAGATTCTTTTTGTTTGACCTTTTACTTGTTGTTTATTGTTATTTTGACCTTCGTGATAGTGTTTTATCTTGAAATCTTGATCAATTCTATCACTGCAGGAAAACATTGATATATTTAGAATTCTATCAAAAGAGTACAAAATATCCTCTATTTTTAATCAGAAAGGCCTGAAAAGTACATGCCGTTTCTGTGAGCTACTTGTGTGCAAACCGGATACCTGATGAACACAGCAGCCGTTGTAGAGCAGTCTTGATGAACGTATTTGGCGACCAGATGACGCGATAGCTCAACATCCCTGCTGGACTCATGCATTGTCCTCTTTTTTCCCCGCCGCAAGGCCAGTTCCACGATCGACCAATGTCAAAGCTAGCTCGGCATGCTTCGCCATTCTCAACTTCTGCTTTTGCTGCACTTCAGCATGCTTCGGCGTTGATGGCATCCTCGTGACGGTCTTGCCAGCTTCACGCCGTGAATGATACTCAGATCGCTCTCAGGAGTCCACATAACTGCAATGCTTTCGACGTCTGTGCAGGAAGATCAATTTGTATCTTGATTTCCTGTTCTTAACTCGTTTTTCTCGTGAGGTGATTGTCTTAAGGTCAGATGCATGCCTGTGTTTGTGGATCAAGCCTGAAGGGAAACGGATTTCCTTTCAGGAGTTCACAGGACCTGTCTATCCACTTGATCGTTGTTGTCGTGAAGACCCTCGTTCGGACAATCAGGTGTCAGGAGGCGTGCTCACTGCGTCTCCGAGGACCTGATGTAGTTGAATTTATATCTGGCGCTTTCTTGTTGTGTTTTTGTGTTATAGATGTCAGATACGTATAAATATATAGATATATTTTGTGTGCGTTTTGTTAAGCAGGACTTTGTGCGTCTCATCTAAGTGCTTCTTACCCTTATCCTGCTGTTTGGAGGACCAGGTCATCCTCAGATTTCCGAGATTAATCATTTAACTTTTGTTACCTCTGCAGTGGTTGTCAACTGCCGGCCACACGACGCCAAACAACCTCATTCCTCCCGAAGATCGGGTGTGAACCATGCTTTGCTGATAGGTTCTTTTTCAGAGGCCTTGAACAGTCCGAGATGACCATTTGTCACTTTTTTTTCTGTTCTGGGCAAATATTATCAGCTGCTCTCGCTTTGATCAGAGCCTTGCTTTTCTGCCTCGGGCCACCACCGGCTGCTAGACAAACATGTCTGAGAGAACGCTGTGCCGCTCACGCTGTGATTGAACTGTATAATCTCACTTCCCCGGTTGTACAAAATGGAATTCACACAGGAGTATTATGGACCTACTAAAGAGGGAGGGAAAAAAAGAATACTGTAATGTGAGGATAAGGTGATATGATTACGAGAGCAATGTCAAAGTATGATGGGGAAAAAAAATAACATTGGAGAGGTTCTGGTTCAAATCTCGGCTGAGTCCCCGTGTGGAGTTTTGTATGTTTCTCCCTGTGTTTGCCTGACTTTTCTAAATGCATTCACATTCCAAAAGCACACTTGTTAGGTTAATTGCAGATTCCGTCGATTCATCCGTCGGTGTTAAAGTGAGTGTGGATGGTTGTTTGTCGACACGTGCGAGCTGTCCACGGTGTACCACGCCTCTCTCAGCCAAATACACTTGGACGAGGCTTAAGCTCTCTCGCGATCCTAATAAGGAGAAGTGCTCTAGAAAATGGATGGAGCCTTTCGCTATTTTACAGACTGTTACATTGACATATGTGCTTTTGTAATTGAGTAACGTTGCTCTTGTAATATTCCAACTTTATTCTTGTCACTTTCCAATTTTGTAAAGGTTTTTCTTTTTTTTTTCCTTTTGAATGTTGCCATAGTAGTCCTTCATGGGAATATAATAGGAAAGCTCTGGCCCCCCCTTTCCACAAATGGGCGCCGTGTCAAGTCATTGCCAAACCAGATGTGAGCAAGAGTAGCAAAATGCACAGCTGCTCCGTGGTGACATAGTAGGTCATATATTGTCTTTTGAAGCGTCACATTTCATGAGGTACCACCTGCTACTACAAGCCAACAACGGATTGAACCGGTGCCATCACCCCCGTGTTCCAAGTGCTAACTGGGAACAGTGTTTGGGGGGGGGGTGGTGTATAACCCCTCCAGGAAGAAAGTGAAACTTTTTTTTTTTTTAATTTTCTTACCTCCATATGATACCTTCAGAACCTGAAGTTGGGTTAAAATAATGCGATCAGCAGCATTGTACGGACTGTTACATTTAACAGTCGGTATCAGTTTCTCCAAATATACATTATTAGCAACCGCACATATAGGTGCATAATACAACACAGCGGACTTTTTATTGTCACATCAAGTCTGCATGATACCCGGTGGTTCAACGGTGTAGTCAGAAGTCTTTCCACGCTTCAAATAGTACTCGTGAAGATATGACATTGTATGATGATTGGTGGCGGCTTCGGGATCAGATTCTCAGAGTCGATTCTGTGAAAGCGAAGCAACAAGGATGGATAGTGCCTTCTAACTGTGGACAATAGTACAGATGCATTCCAAAGCTGTGCTAATATTTATACAAAGCATTACTAAATACATGACTCAAACATTGTGTTAATAACAAACTTCCATATTTGTTTGCGGACTAACTATGAATACCCTACTGGGCTTTTCTTATGTTGTGGAAACTATTGCTATAAGTTCTGCATATGACACGAAGAAGAACTTTATATTACATTGGGGAATGCTTTGGCCTTTTTTTTTCTTTCTTAAGTAGCAGATGTCAGATATGCTGTAAAAGAGCTGACAATCAAATCAAGGCGCTCTAGTAAAAAGCAGCTGTTTGGGGGAGGGACGCTGAAGAGAACGAAATTCAATCAATCTTGAGCGAAAGGATCAACATTGCATTTTTTTTTAACACATTTGTCTCCATGACCTTTTGCCCCCTTGGCAACATTCAAACACCCCCACCACCCCCCCCCCTCTTCTCTCCTGTATGGATCTGTGTTTGTTCGACCAGTACTGTGAGATATTTGCGTTTGAACAGTTGCTGTCTTTTTCTGCCCCTCTCAAACAACTGCATTTCAACCTGAGGTTGCCGTGTTTTTTCTGTTTGTTTGGTTTTTTTCATTGTGTGCCGGTGACAATCAGGAGATATTGTGAAAACACTGTGTACCTCCAGACACTCTTGAACATCCCTTCAGCCACTGTTTCGACGCCTTTCTACCTCAATGACTTTGACACGCTGGGGGGGTAAAAAAAACCCTGGATGATCATGATATTGATTACGTTAGCCCTCCACTAATGACCTCGGACAATCAGATATCAGCTAATTGGGACTTTCTCTCTTGATTTGTTGCTATTGCCTTGTGGAAAGTAAAGGAAGGTTGTGGTAAGAGCGTCCCGTCGTGGAAAGGTTTTGTAGTTGAACCCTCCAAGTGGTTGAATATCTTTACAGTGTTTTCTTTGTTTGGATTCAAAAACGTTGGAAGGAGCATTGAAAGTGTTGATCTCAGATGTGTTAAGATTGACACTGAAATGGTCACACTTCATTCTTGCTTTTTCCCCATAGCTCTTGTCAAGCAGGATCCTCCATGTAAAATGCAATTTTTTTCGGGGAAAAAGTCTTAACTCAGCAAAGAATTTTTATTTCAATTTTTTTTTCCCTTCTTCTTTTGTTATTAATGCAGTTCATTTGGATTGAATGCAGTCTCTAGTGCATCTACACGTTTGTGTAGATTGGACAATTTCACTTTATCCACATGCTCGCTGTGTATAAAAATATCATACTTAAAGAACTTGAACTATTGCTGCTGTCAATCCCTTCATGGCCCATTCATCACCATTTTTATGGGTGTGAATGCTACCGGAACATCAACGCTGCCTCCGTCTCGGATTAGGTGGACTGCAGACAATGAAGATGACAAAGTAACAAGATGCCTTCTGCTGTGACAATTGTATGAATCAACATGTATTACTAAGATTCATGGAGTAGAATATTTCTGAAATATGGCTTTTTAGGGCTATGAATTATATCACGTACGTTTGTTTTTGCTATTTCTTTGCTTGTTTTCTTAATGCTGTTGCAAACCAGCACGCAGAGATTACATTTGAGAGCAGATTTATTACCTTAAAAATGATGATGATATTGGAAGAGAATGATAATAATGTGACGATTTTAGAGGAGCTGGTGTGCTCCTCAAGTCTTCGGCTAACTTTAGAACTTCGGGAAGCGAGGCGTTGTGCCTTGTCTCTGAAAACTTCTCAGGAAAATCTACCTCTACCTCCATTTGGATGTATTCACCCCAGTTGGGTGTCAAGTTCCATTTTAGTGGGTGCACAGAGAGGGCGTGTTACAGCCCAACTTCTGCTGCTGATGCAATAGCAGAGATCCCACTGCTCAACAGTACTGCTTCTAGAGTACCACTGTTAGCACCACAAGTAGTCTTCAGTACGTTCACTCAATATGTGCTTATTCCTTCTTTATCTTTAGGCTACAAACATGATTTTAATGAATGGGATGTGTCCTAATAACCTTGGTAACAGTGCTGTGGGAAGGCAATGCAGCATTTTTGTTTTCTCTCTCTTTTTTGAATGGTGAAAAGTTATTCTTGCCTATTTACTCAATATGTGTTTGTGTGAATACTTTAAATTTGAATTTGAAATTAATAAAATATCAGCTTTCTTAAATGTCATCACTGCATGTGCTATATCTTATTTCAAGTTTCAAGGTGTCGACGTTTGTTAAAATGAAAAGAAAATAGAAACTGAGTTAACCCGCATTCCACTTAAACAATGACGATGCAAATTAAAGCTTTTTGCATTCACTACATACAATATGCAAAACATGCATTGTATATTAAAAAGTGGTGGTGGGACTAATAAAGTGGAAAGGCCTTCGGTCAGAAGCGACATGTAATCAGGGGCAGAGCTACATGGAAAAAAATACTTCTTCAGGACTTCATTTACATGAGAGGCTCTCATATTTTAAATAAAAATATACAATAGCGGTGCGGGGTAAAGACGTGTATTCAATTAAGGTATGAGTTTGTCCAAGGGTAGTGATTTGGACCCAACCATCCAATCGCAGCAATTGATTATGTCTTTGTAATCCCTTCCATGCACAGCCCTCAGTGTGACAGAAATCCCCAAATTGTACGCCTAAATCACATCACTGTTTTCCCCTGGTCTTATTGCAAAATGCTTGTTAACCTCGGCAGCAGTCACCATATAACACAACAGATTAAGAGAAGCAAGATATTCTATATTTATGGCCTTATTTAAGAGAAATGTCTACTTGAGGAATGATAAATGGAGGACACCTATATGTAGGGCTTTATCTATACCGCATAGTGCCCAAAGCGCTTTGCAAAGCCTCACATTCTCACATACATACGTATTTGACCTAAAAAAAAATATATATATACTTTTGCTATTTTTGCTACGTTTTTTCACTTTTACTTTTGTACTTAGACATTTTAGATTTAAGTGATAACAGTTTTTCTGACATTAAGCAATGTAAGGGTTTTCTACACTGAGGCTGAGTAGACTGGTGCCCCAAGTGCCAGTCTACTGGACTGTCCTTGGATTTACAGATCTGCACATTCAATATTTTAGAGACACGTCTTGCCACATTACACCGTGCCGCACAAAAAAAGCAGATTCACTTTGAAAAATGAGGACTCTGGCATGATTAGTTTCAGTAAGGCCATGATAGGCTGTTGCAGATAACACTGGCCATCAGTGAAACAAAATTACCTACACCAGTTTTTTTATGTATTAATGATAAATAATTCATCATTCAATAGCTATTATGATCAAATAAAATAATCAAACATTTTATTCATAGAGACCCGTGCCACAAGCATTTTGGTGCACGGGCACTGCCCCCAATGGCCCGCCTGTGGCGACGGGTGTGCAGCTGTGCATCCATCCATCCGTTTTCTGGAGCGTTTGTCTTCATTGGGGTAGCGGGTGACTCAGAGTGCACTCTGACCTAATCGCCAGTCAGACGCAAGACACACAGAAAAAACACTGACACTCTTAGTATGGGCGCTTTATTCTTCGATTAACCAAACGTGACATGCATGGAATATGGGAAGGTGAGAAAACCCGTCGCAAACACGAGGAGAACATGCAAACTCCACACAAAGGGACCTGTGCCGGTATTTTAACCCGCAACCTCGCGAATGTGAAGCAGATAAGGTTTCTTTCTGTTAAAAATATGACCCCTGCTGGTCAAAAAAGGGAAAGCGCTAATACCCTTCCCCTTCACTTTTCTTTACAGGCGCTGTTAGTTTGTCATATTCACGTTTCACATACTGTGTTTAGATTGTGACACTATTGAAGAGATTAATGAGTCCATTCAAGGGTGATATCCACGGGTAGCGAGTGTTTTTATGTTGTCCAGTGCCTGTATTATTTGTCTTATTCTTTGTAATCATTATAGTTAGCCATACGACTTACTGTTATACTGTATTGAGAACTCCTTAAATGACTTGATCATGAATGGTCGTGCCGGAGCCAAGAGTTGGGTTTATCTCAAACAACGCCCAGTGTTAGTGAGAGAGCGGTAGTGAACCAATCGCATTTGGGCATATTCAAACTGACACAAAGGTGCGCGCCATTCGAGGACGAACATGGGATTGGCGAGGCGGAGCTTAAAGGATCTCATCGCAAAGCAAGCAAACCGATGGAATGGAGCAAAACACTCAACAGGAAGTCTTATAGTTATGCGTTCGATATCTAGTATAAAGCAACTTTACGTGTAAGGTCAGGTAATAATGAGACTCCGGTCGCGGAGAATCGTGACTCCTTACACGGACACGCCGAGGAAAACCCGCCAGCGGTCCAGCAACAAAGCGACACCGACACCGACACCGAGACGAACTCGTCCATCTGTACCAGAAAGGCCATTACAAGACAAGGTAACAAATTAGTAGTAGGCTGTCTCTCCTCGACGACGACATACTATTTACCCTCAATGCAAGCTTCGCTCGGGCCTTCAAATACAATTTGGCTCCACCGAACTCGACGTGCGCGGTAGCTAATACTCGAGCTAGCATTCGATTGTTGTGGTCCGAGAGCAGCCCGTTTGCCAAATTACACTGCTATGTGGCCTGTACGTAACATCCACGTGATTGCTTAATTGGATATTAAAAGCAACACCGAACTGCAAAACATCCACTTGAGGTGGCCATTTAGACGTTTGTGTAGTCATCCTGAGAACATGCACGCCTCAACCTAAATGATTTATCCTTGTTTCCTTGTATGTTTTTATTATGCGCCCTGGCTATTTGAGTGGCGCAAATTAAATGTGCTCAATACGACATGCAGTCTGGTTTTGGTTTATGGTGTGCTATTTGCTGTATTCCCCCTTCTGTTTTTTGTAAACGCGAGACGTGGTGTGCCTTTTAGAGTGGTTGTTGTTTTGTCGTCCTGTTGATAGTAAGTTGAGGATTAGTTGAACACTCGTCGTGCAGACTGGGGGAGATTTAAATGGGCCAGCTCCACATGAGAGGATCTCAGTAAATAGGTCAACATCCAAGCTGCGCCAGACAGACTGCAAGTTGTGGAATGTGCCAGTCATATTTTATTAACACGCGATTTTTGGGTCACTGAAGGTGAAAGCCTCAATTGCACCCGTGTAACGTCATTTTACACAAATGTGATGCATGCAATCTCAAGTCGCATCAAACATGTTCTATAACATGGAACTGGGTCGGAAAGTATGCAACATTTAATATGATCCAAGTCAAACCGTGGCCATAACAAAGTGAATTGGAAAAATCCAATGTGACTAAAATGGTAAATGGAGTACACTATCAGTACAGTATTATCTTCATCATATGGTGTCTGACCAGAGCTATACACATAATCTGTTGAACTCTAAAAGTTCAGTCTCTAGGAGCAGTGAATTCAACAAAATATAGTATAATAAGCCTCTGAATGTATTCTTTTAAATAATTTTGTTGTAATACTCCCCATTAATGTGAATGGTTTTCCGTTCCTCAGGATTGCTAGCCCAGCTAGCAGAATTATAGACAGCTTGCCGGGTCCATATGCGGAGTTGCGGCAAGGTATTTTGATGCGAACGTAGCATGGCGCCTATGCAAGGCTCCCTATGTCCGAATCGTGTCAGACCAGAGGCTTTCCTTTGCCTTTAAATCACAGGTGTCAGACTCAAGGCCCGGGGGCCAGATCCGGACCACCAGGTCATTTTATGTGGTCCGCGAAAGTAATCACGTGTGTGAACTTGCTAAAATCTGTCCCGAAATGTCAAATTCTCATGTGTAATAAATAACGTTGAGATTGTGCAATAATTTTGTTACCCTGTTTACACTCACTTCAACAATAATTGAACAAACTATTATAATTGACTTGACTGGTTTCAAAACTAGTAATCTATTAATGTGTGTCTACAAGTAATAATTTTGTGGTTTCACTGTCATAATGGCCCTCCGAGGGAAGATGCAACTCCAAATTGGCCCGCGACTAAAATGAGTTCGACACCCCTGCTTTAAATGGTCTCAGACTGGCGTAATAGGCTTCAGAAATATGGGAAAGACTGCTGACTTGAAGGTTGTGCAGAAAACCATTGCTGACACCCGGCATAAGGAGAAAAGATCTCAAAAATAAACTCCAAAAGAAGCTCAATGCTCACGGAGCGCTATTTCAAAATAACGGTATGACGCGACAAAGAATCAAATCAAGAATGTTGCAAAATGGCCTGAACACTTTGTTTTGAATAGATGATGACTTCACTTAATCGTCGTTCATCTTTTTATGAAATGTAATGAAGTGGCCAGCGAAAACGAAAACCTCTTATTTTGAAGGTTGAAGTGACCCCTGATGCTGAAGATGTCCCAACAAGGATGAGGCGGCTCCCACCCTATGGGCGGCCGAGAAAGAGAGCCATCGCTGCGGTTGACAAAGAGACAGGTGATTTCAATGTTTTTTTTCTCCTTGTAAAATAATCTATATGTTTTTGTTCTCCTTACTGAGCTTGTGCTCCGCTGTGACCTTAGTTGACGACACTGGTCTTGAAGATTCCGTCTTCAAGACTCCACCCAGGTCCATATTGCGCAATAACCACATACTGTCTGAGATGGACCCTGCTTCTCCTCATAATTCAGCATCCAGGAAGATCTACACCCCCATTGTTCGATTCCTTACACCCAGCAAAGAGAGTAAGTAAAAGTCCTTGTTTGTTGTTCCTTATACCATCTTGCCAACCCTCAACGCAAGGCTCATTATCAGGCCATAGAATCTTCCTTGTGGCATGCGGTAAGCTCCTTGTCGTTTGATGTAGGAAACCTTTTACATTTGTCACATCTACTATTAAGTGAGAAAATAATTGGTCTTTATTATTTGTTATTTATTTTTTAAAAATCCAGATTACAAGAGTCCAAGAAACGATGTGTTGATGAGCCCTGAACAAGGAGTGTTTGGTTATGGCTCCATTGACCTCCTAGTCGGAGATGAGGACGACCACATCTTCAATCCGTAAGTGTTACTTTCTGCCTGATTACATTTGTAGCACTTTCACGTCTCTAAACGACAGTTTAGGTTTGGTCCGGATCTAATCTGTGTTAAGTGTCATCTGTGCTATTTTCATCATCACAGTATCTGAACATCAATTGGGACTTTCTTCTTAACATTTGGCAGACTTGTATTTGTCAACATTTGTTTTTGTTTTGTTTTCAAGCTTCACTTTCATCAAGAACCTGCCATCACAGTCTCAATATTCTCAGCCCAGACTGTCTGACATCCCCCCTAAGACCAGGAGCACCCCCGAGGCCACGCTTGTGGTGGATTTGGTGAGTCCCCCCCCTCCAAGGTACTCTGCTAGTCCAGCAACCACCTTTCGCATCGGCCTCAATAGGGTGGGGCCATATCTAGATATGAACGTTCAAGATATTAATATCAAAAATGGAGACTATCAGTCAACTATATGGACTTGGGGCCTGGCAGCAAGTGCCTCGCTGGTGGCTAAGAACCAATGTCTTGTGTCATAACTGTGGAGAGACAGGAAGCTCCAGTCACATGGCTCCTCCGTAAGCACCTGTTTGGCAAAATGCTTTCGGCAAAATTTGCACAACATAAAATTCATTTAGATATGAATGCAAAAGAAAATGCCACTTTTTTTTTTCAACAGAATAACGGTACAGACTTTTAAAACGGTACTTTGCATTTGTCCGCATCTTTCATTTCATACATACAAAACAAGACAAACTGTTGATGTTGTGTAATCCTTGTGTTTCAGGAAGAAACATTGATGTTCGGATCTCTGAATACGATTGACAATGCTGAATACACCTTCCACACTGCTTTTCAGGATCATCAGTATAGGGTGAGCTAAGGCTTGGGCACAACAATGCATCCGATGATGTGTAATTGTAATGGTCAGTTGATTTGTGGTCATGCTGTGCAAGTTTTAATCTGATTGTTGTATATATTCAGATGGCTCCTTTTTAAGACTAAAACGGTAGACTTGTGAATGGTGGTTTTTTATACACATTGATTTATTAGCAAGAACATATTTTGGCTGGATGCGTTTTAAGTAAAATGGCTTTTTTAACTGCGGCTGTCGACATTTGTCTGTCTTGACTCATGGCAATAAAGGCTTCGTGTTGTATGTTACCAACAGGTTTACATGATCCTACGACCACATGTGAAGGAGTTTCTGCAGTCTGTGGCAAAACTATATGAGGTTTGTGTCTGTCTCCCATACAGTTTCCTATTATTTGAAGTCAGAATATTAAAGGTTATCCTTACATTCGCTATATCATAATTTAGGATACTTTTGTATTTCTTCAACTAAATTAGATGTACCGTATTTTCCAGACTATAAGGCGCTTCGGAGTATAAGGCACACTTTCAATGCGTGGTCTATTTTGAAACTGTTTTGATATATAGAGCACACCACATTCTAAGGCGCATAGAATACGAGCAACAATAGTGGCTGAGGTTACGTTATGCATCCACTAGATGAAGCTACGCTAAAGGGAATACAACACAGCTTTATTTATGTAGTGCTTTCACAGCCGCTGCAGCTGTCACAAAGCACTTTACATAACATTTAAAATAACGCCCAAGAAATCAGAATATTGATTCATATGTAAGGGGCATCAGATTATAGGGCGCACTGTCTGCTTTTGAGAAAATTGAATGCCTCTAGCTGTGCCCTATAGTGCGGAAAATACAGTATGTCCATTCTCAGGTGGCATTATTTGGCAATGCGTCATGGCAGTATAAAAAGAAAAATGCATGGACCCTAATATAATCATATCAGAATCAGGTTGCTACCGGAGGTGGATAAAAATTGAATACGTCTTGGATAGCGGCAAATACCGGTCCAGCCTAAACTGACAGATCGATTTACTGTACCACATCCATGTGAGCTTGTTGTCAAATTAAAGTACAATACAATACTTTTTTTTTTAAAGCACCCATTGTAAATATAAACTACAGCGAAAGCATTAAACAATTATGGTTCAAATATGCCACATTAGAGGTGAGTCCATCATCGCCATCTGCTGCCAGTGCAGGAAACCCACATTGAATCAATTTTGGGTAAAGTCTGCCCAGGACAACTAAACCAGTAATTGTAGCCTTGAGCATTTTTATTATTTACTGCTGGGTGTTAATGCTTGTGGAGTTACTTGGATGCAGTTTGGGCGTCTGCGCATACAGGATGTTTCATGCATTCAGTTGCTATTTACACAGCCATATCAAATGTGTGTCACTTGAATTGTCCATGGAAATAGGCAGCCAAAAGAAATCAGATACAGGAGGCATTAAATAGCAGTTGGGCACTTGGCTGTAAAGTGTAAATCCAGCCTTGGAGAGCTGTCGTGACGTTCAGTGCTGTCTCCTCTCGGCTTGCAGGTACTTTCTACAACTAAAAGAGCAGCCTTTTTATTTATTTATTTATTTATTTATTTAAAGACATTTCTAGTCGAAGCATAACCTGCCCTTTTGGCTTGACTCTTATAGCTTCTGACATGGCACTTTTGAAACTGTAGGGGGAGCCCTAGAGCAAGCGCTCCTCACTGATGTGATTGGAGCCAGTAAATGTGCATTGTTGTATTTCTTAAGTTATGATCCTTTGTTGCAGCTCTTTGTTTACACCTGTGCAAAGAGGGAGTACGCTGAGAAGATTCTGGACATCCTGGACCCGCAAAAGAAACTCTTTCGGTAAGGCTTCCTGAAATCTCTTGCTTTCACTTTGCACATTGTATGTAGTATAAATGAGCACTCTCAGGTTCTCCACTGATCGTCCTTGCAGCCACCGTCTCTATCAGGATGAGTGTGCCTGCGTCCTTGGGCACTACATTAAAGATCTCAGCATCCTGGGGAGAGACCTGACCAAGACTGTGGTTTTGGACAACGCACCCCATACCTACCCCTACCATGTCAGTATTACACCGAAGACCTGCCGTTGTCCACCCTCATTGTTGGTGTCTGTTTGATTCAGCTTGAGTTGCTCTTTGAATTTTGCAGTTGATGAACACTCTTCCCATCAAGAGTTGGTCTGGTGAGTCAGATGACCGAGAACTCCAGAAGCTCATCCCCTACATGGAGAAACTGTCTACAGCGGTTCGTTTGTTTTATGTTCACGCCACATATTTACTGTTAGTTTGTTTGCACCTTTTACGGCCAGTCAGACACCATCTCTTCCCATGCAGGATGATTTCTTTATTTTTATTGTGTGCGATAAATCCTGAAAACGCCTGATTTGTTGTTCTTTCCTTAAGTCGGTTTTGAATAAAGCGGCAGGTTATCTGTAGCAGCAGTCTTTCCGCTTCCACGGTCATATAATCTCCTCTGTTTTTTCAGGAGGATTTTCGAGAGGTGCTGAAGAAGAGGAAGGATCACTTCCACCGACTGCTGTCAGAGGACTGACATGACCAACCCCCAACCCTCCAAACTACCCAAAGCACCACATCAACTACCCGAATTGACTATCATAGCCTGTTTGCATTCTCGTTCCTTTAGCACAGAAAGCAGAATTTGGTGCGTTTCTCTAAGGTGGCACCTGCTGCATGGTGGCGGACATGCATGCCTTGTCTCTCCCAGATTTCTTTTCAGGATGACACTTCCATACTTAAATCATGCCGCTCCTTGTTTAGCACCACATTTCAGTTGAATCTTTCCACTGAGTAGTAGATGTAGAGATGCAACATGAAATGCATTTTATATCATTCTTTATTTATTGATTGCGTTCCTGAATCCTTTTTATTTTAGATACATGTTTAATCCAATAAAACTAACCTCATAGTGGAAAAATAAGGAGTTATACTGTATTTCGTCTTTTTTGTACTTTTGAGTGTGAAATATTTGCGGCATTAACAACACAGCACTTAACTGCAGTGACACATTTGCTTGAATTGTCATCCACCATCACCCCGCTGAACCTCAAATGCGACACCAAAGTCATAAATTGTTTGCAGGCTGGTGGCCCAGCTCTGTCTTTTGGACTTCTCAGCTGGGTTTTCAGCTGTGTGTCTCGGGTGCTCTCAAAACAAAACAAAATCGGTCTGTCAAAATAAGTCTTCACTTCCCGTGCAGCAGGAAAGAGCTAACGGAGCAGCTCGTGGAACAGATTTGTGGAACAGATAGTTATGCTGCACTGTTGCAATCTGGCTTTCCATCCATGTTCGTTGCCGGTGAGGTGAAAGTGTTTCCAGCTGAATTCAAGCAAAAGTACGATGATTTTCACTGCGTGTTAGCCTCACCATTACTGCTTTTATACACTTGCCTACACTGTACAGCTTGCTGCTCTCTTTCAACATGAAAATGACAATTTTTGGTGTGGTTGCTGCTCAATCGTTGCAGACCAATTTTGATTACGCTCGATGAATTGTAATGCGATTACTGCATCAACCGCAAAGCCTGAAGTTATGTACATAAAACAAATTTGTTACTGTGAACACAGCTATATTTAAAAAGAAAAAAATTGGGATTGTAGGTTTAAAGCATTATAAGGTCATTAAAACACTGCAGGCCTACGTATGAATGCAAATCAGTGATAGTGAAAGTTTGAATTGGAGCTGACTGTGAGTCTCAAACTGGAAGTTAAGTGCTTTGGCCCTCGTCCGGCTTTATCTCCTCTGCGAAAAAATTGGGATTGTAGGTTTAAAGCATTATAAGGTCATTAAAACACTGCAGGCCTACGTATGAATGCAAATCAGTGATAGTGAAAGTTTGAATTGGAGCTGACTGAGTCTCAAACTGGAAGTTAAGTGCTTTGGCCCTCGTCCGGCTGCATCTCCTCTGCTTTATTTGCTCCATATGGTGTTTGACATCTGACCCATGGAGAAGGGGAGTGTGTGTGTGTGTGTGTGGGGGGGGGGGGCGGCTGTGGGCGGAGGGAAAGCCTAGTATTTTGTCCGTCCTGAAATTTGATTCACAAGTTCAGGATCCTGGAAGACAAAAAGAAAAGACACAGGGGGAGGGAAGAAAGGGTTTCTCCTTCTAACCACCAGAGGCATAAACTCAACAAACAGCCTGCAACCTACTGGAAAAGTAAGTTCTTTTAATCCAAGTTTTGTATGGAATTGACTAATCGAACTAATGTGTGACCCAAATGGGGTCACGTTGTTAGATTTGTCTCTCCGATTCTTGCTGCAAGGGCGCAACACAAAAGACGGGCAGAAGTCATAATGATTTTTCATTGCGGTTAATTGTGGCTACCCTGAGCGCACGATGGGCCACATTTTGTCTCATTTTGATTGACTTGACGACCAAGTCATCTTGACCCCATAATTAAGTAAGACGCACGTTTTGGATTTGCACAACAGAGGGAAAAGTCTCCCCCCACCCCCCCCCCCACCCCAAGCGAGAGAAAAGGCGCACTATTCGATCGTACGCGCATTCCCCACACGCTGGCGACCACCGATTACCGCCACGAGCATTCGTGTGGTTTTGAATAATCCAATTATCTCCTTCTGATCACGTCATTTGTTTGCAAGGGAAGTGCGATCGTCTGTGCAAATGTTTGCGTCGCGACTGTGCGCCAAACGGGTTCACGTACCGAACGTGAGCCACACATGTCAATGAAAGTCAGCGTGGGCTTGAGCCAACAAAAGGAGGCGCGTGGTTGTTATTGTGCCGTGAAAGTCGGTTTAACACATCCACGCGCAACACGCGTGGCCTCATTTTCTACATCTCACATTCAATACGATATGGTCTCAATAAACGTATCGCTGATCGTCAGTATTTAATCGGTTCATGGCGTTGTATGTAACTTCACATAATTTGAAGAATTCAAATCTATAGGCTATTTCAGTTTTTGTGAACTAAGCAAATTATTTTTTTCCCTATTGTTTCAGAGAATATTTATTATGTAGGGTTGTAGCCCATGCGTTATAAGCGTTAAGCGCTCATACACAAGGTCAAGTCTTTGATGTCATTTAATCGCAAAAGCAGGCAATCCCATTAAAATAAGTGAGTTAAAAAAAAAGCAGGCGATAACCCCCCGCCCCACCACCACCACTACCACCATTTCGGCGACATAGTTACCCCCCGCCCCACCACCACCACCACCACTACCACCACCACCATTTCGGTGACATAGTTATGATAAAACTTTGTGATCAACCTAATATTTACAGGTTAGTGCACCAGAACTACAATCTTCATAACCTTTAACCCAAATGTAAATTAACCCGTAATCCTTACGAAGAGAAAAGTCACATTGACTCAATTTTCTTCATTGTTGCTATCCTCGACATGCTGTCGACCCACTTTTTTTTTCTCCTGTCATGTCTGGGACCCCCGCATCCCCATCCCCACCACTATCAGAAATTTCAAGCGGCAGCCGTTTTGAAGATGTCCATACCTAACATAGACTATCAAAACATCGATAGTAAGTTTCAAAAAATTCCGCCCTTGATGACCAGAGTTTTTTGGGGTCCATCGCAATCTCGCGCTCACCCGCATCCACGACAGGACTGCACGCCCCTGCTTTCAAGTGCCATCAAAATGAGGAGCGACTGCATAGTCCAAAATTACGTTACACTTGGGCTCGTGGTTTGCTTAAAAATGGATGACTGGGACTGCATGTCATGGTTTCTCCAATTAAACCCTGATTTTCGATTACTTGTACGGAGTAGTTTTTTGGTTTTATGGGGGTTTGCACCAAGGAACGATACTGATAGGCAATCCGCCAAAATTGTGTCTTAATTTTAATCCAAATGGCTATCAATGAATACGTAGACAGGCAGACAGACAGATGTGCCTTTCATATCCACAAAGGCCTCCTTCCATCACTCTGACCTAATTACACGACTTGAATGTGAGCAAAAGTAGGACTCCTTTCCTTTCTGGAATCTTTTCATAGTTTCCCATATTAGGGATATTCTCTGGGGTTATGTTTACATCTCTAGATGTATTGTTTGGAACAACCTGCGATAGGCTCCAGCTCACTTGCTGCCCAACTGGAGACAAGTGCTATAGGAAATTCATGAATGGATGTAAAATCCTTGAATCTTTTTCTCTTATTACCATTGCCTTTTTGTGTTGTTTTAGTCAGGTGCTGGGCTGTGTGACTATGAACACGTCAGGGCTTAAGGCCGGCGACGGGGAGAATGCTCAGGAGCTCGACAGTATGAAGGAATCCATCAGTGATATCATTAATCAGCTTCAGGACATCGACCCCGCCAGGCTATCCTTCTCCCCCTTCCTGGACCTGGACACTCAAATCTGCATGGCGCCCGTGTCAGACAGCCCAGAGTCCTCAGTGGAGGAGCTGCGCTCATCCTCCCACTCGGCCTCCGGCTCCCAGCGATCCCTGGAGCATCCACCATTGGCTGAGGAGCCTAAGAGTGAGTTCCCACCGCTACTTTTGTTTTGAGGCAAAAGAGTAAAAGGTCAACTCAGGTAAACTTTAGTCCAACCTTGATCCAAATGGATTTAAAACAAAATCAAAAGATATGAGGGAGAAAAATAATGTTTATTTAGATCAGACATTAAGAACCGGATTTGAATAGAACAACATGCATATTGAATTTGAGAAAACAAGTATTTGCACTTGCAAAACGATGGTCTCGAAGTTAGCATGCCTCCCTTAACGTTCTGAGGTTCGGGATTTGAATCTTGGCTCCAGACCTGCTGTGAGCATTTTGTATGATCTTTAACTTTTTGCGTGACTTTTGGCCAGGTACTGCACCTTCCGACCACATTCCAAACACAACATATCTTAGGGTCACTAAAGACTGAACAACAACAGCTGAGAAACACTTCAACTCACCTGTGCCCAGAATGAGGACTAATTAGCTCTCAAAAATGGATGGAAGCGCTTCCACATTTTGAGAAGGTCAACAGACTTTAAAAGTTTCAGACAAGTCAAAAAGGTCCATATGCTCTATGGATCTACTTTTGTCACCATGCTGACATTCCAAGCCACATTGACCACATATTAGTCATGACCACATTATTATAGGACGAAGACATGTGTGGAGCCTCCATCTTTGTGCTCAGCCTTCCAATTTACCTCAGTGACACCCCATTACTTAAAACTTATCAGGAGCTCGCCTTCACTTTACTCTCTTATAGAATGTAGTACTGTACAACTTAAACTAGTTGTAGTTCCCAGCACAGACACACACACACACACACACACACACACACACACACACACACACACACACACACACACACACACACACACACACACAAAAAACCTCTCGGACAGTCGTAGTGGCTCCCGTTACTTCTTTTAAAACCAGTGTAATGGAAGCGCACACAGTGCTTGACATTGCAGAAGCCAAAATAGACTCACTGGGTCTGTGCATGAGATTGGCGCGGGTAAAGTGCCTTTATACAGTTAAACTGCAAGCTCCCCCTTTGCGGATTATGTAGTAGCACACAATGTGGGTCATTGGAGACTGCCTTGCACCCACCCCTGCCTTCAATAGTTGCGCCGCGGACGTGGTATTAAGCTATTTTTGAGTTGATAATAATTATAATTAATTCAATTAATTGATTTCTGCAGTGGTTTAGAAGGATTGTCCCATGCTGAATGAAACACAGGAACATGCAGCACACATATCCAATGAGCGCCGAATCTGTCTGCCTGCGCCTCAATCAAATACATCATAATCGCATTAGACCACAATTTTGACGTAGTTTTAGCTAGTCCAAAATTTTGTCAACTTTTTCTCACCAAATTGGCAGGTGCCA